CTTAACGGCTTTTATGCCGTAGCCTTACAGCACTCACACGTTTAACTTGGTGAGCCGGTCAGCCGTAATCGTTAGATATCGGCATGGAACCGCAACTAAGGTTTTAAAAAAAGCAAGTTCGGCCGCTATTTACCATTGACTTGCCCCAACCGATGCCGAATATCAGGCCAGTTCCTGACCGACTTTTTTCTCCGTGAGCAGAATTTGCTGAAAACTTGGCTCCAGGGGTACTTTGACCCGCTGAACACGAATATCGCATCCGCTTGACCCAAAACCTCCTAGGCGCCCGCGCCACGGGCGCCGGCGCCAAAATACTTGAAATCACCAAATTCGCTGAAAACTTGCTCCCAGGGGTAGTTTGACCCCCTGAACACGAATATCACATCCGCTCAACCCGAAACCTCCTGGCGCCCGCACCACGGGTTCTGGAGAGGTCAAACTACCCCAGTAACATTTGAGCAAAATCTGTCCACGGAGAAAAAAGTCGGTCAGGATCTGGCCTGATTTCAGGTGACTGGGGCAGTAAGCGGTAAATTAGTGACGGAAAGCCTTCTTAAAACTAGAGTGCAGCAGGTGGAGAAACCTCATTTGGGACAATTAAAAACTAATATTAGACTTAAAGCGCACATGGCGCGACATAGTCTTGAATTCATCTCTCAGAATACGTGCCTCTTGCCCTCCTGCTTTTTTACCATTCAAATGTCTAGTTAGAAAAAAAATTATTGAAATCTGATTTGTGGAATCAACTCTCGTAGGTATTCATTGTATTTATGTATTCGCATTGTTTTTTCACGCTTGCCTTATGCAACGTATGAACAACAAACAGTAAAACCCGGCGCCGCGCGACTGGTAAGCGCGCACTTGTCACTATACCGCCCACGTCTCACTCAATACTAATACCATCCAAGAACAAAAAAAAGCAGAAAACAAGGGGAGAAAACTGAGCTTCTGACGGAGAGACATTCAAGTATCGGTGGGTGGGGCAACTAGGGAGGCGTCAGAAATGTCACTCATGGGGGCCGCATCCGTTCGTAATTAAATGCTGAAGTGAAATATCGGAATTAATCTGAGAGACGGCTGCTCGAACTGCGGCGGGACTGCCTTTGTTTACGAGGAAACCAATTTCATATTCGCATAAAAATCAAGGCGGTACCTGGGTAATTCACTCGTCATTTCCCTTCTTCAGCGAATAATACTTTCATGAGATATTTATAACAGTGGGATTCCTGTTCAACTATGGAGATGGCTGGAAATATGGCCTGTTCACAAATTTTTTTGCTTCACTTCATTTCACAAAAAGTTAGGAAGCATGTTCCAGGCAGCAGGAATGCAAGCTCCAATATTTTGACGTAATGACAACAAAGAGTCAGTCCACTTGGATTATGATTCCTAAATCGATCCACAACAATTATCAGAGTACAGTGCAGTAACCATATAGTTCATGCTTTATTAATGATTTGACGACTGATGAAAATATCCTACACCATGATGAAATTTCGAGTGAGTGCTTCCTTGAACGCGTTGTCTTCAGCACGCTCCATTAGCTGGAAAAGTCATTTTCTTCAATCTCTCAGCCAAACACATTCCTTATCTGTCGCTCCAGCGACTACTCGACTTATCACTACTATTTTCGCGCCTTTCTGTGATGCAACCTTACCCTGGGAGGATTTAGCGATTGTGTCGTTAACGGTTAAGCGCTGAGCGATCAACAAAGTCCCCCTCCCTACAGTGGAGCGCTCACCGAGACGGTGGGGGCGTTCCCTACGACACGCCTGTCGAGCGTTCCCGCTCTGATCTGAGCGCAGACTGTTGATGGAAAGCGAGAAATTTGTAGGAAATTATCGTCATCGGCTCTCCGTCTCTGACACTGACTCTGCGCTCTAACACACCCAACCGCGCCCTCTACTCACTCTTCCGTCTTGCACTCTCGCCGATCGATAATGGCTGACGCTGTCCATCAAGCACTGCATTCCGTGCCGCATTTTTCTATCGAAAATTCCTTAGCATATTCAGCTTGAAAAGCCTGAGATATTTTCGGACTTTACCGCTTCGAATCGTGGAGGGTGAGTAATCTATTGCTCAAACTGTAATCACAATTTGCATGCTAATTTAGCTTTGAAATTCCTAGAAAACATTTTTTCCTTCCGATTTTCGCAATTCGTCCAAACCTTTTTTATTGTCCCCACTTCTTTTATGTTATTGAACGGGTTTTTCGAAGTAGTGTCTTAGATGTGATCTCGTTATTATCGAGAACCATCTCTGACTCTATTCTGAAGCTCGAAGTCCATGTGTCAAGCAAAAGTGAGAGCAAAGTGGAAGGAAAATCAGAACGGAAAAAAATGTTTTCTTAGGGGTGATTTCAAGATAAATCCAAGTCGCAAACTGTTATACAATTTAGTGAGAATACTCGATTCCTTTCAACGACTTGAAGCCAGAGAATTTGAAAATCTCACCTTTTCAAGCTGAATGTGAAAAAATACTGCGAAAGCGCTGCAAAATCAAGCTGCTGGAGCAATTATCGATCGGCGAGAGTCCAGAACGGGAGAGTGGGTAGATTGTGCGGCGCGGCGGTGCGCTTTAGAGAGTCAGATCAGAGACGAAGAAGGGCAAGTTATTGCGGCTTTCGATCAACAGGCAAATATCGGGCCGCTAGCCAGCGTGGCCTTAGGACCGCCCCACCGTCCGCTGAGAACTGCACTGTACGTCATTACATTTGACTACGAGCGAGAGAAGAAGATGGGTGGGGATTTTGAACGAGAGATCAAGCAAGTGAGAAAGCTACAACGTGGCGAGGAGGCGAAACATCCGGACCGGGGGGGGCGGAATAATTTTTGGCTGAAGGCAACAAAGTCTTCTAGTCATTGACGTTAGCAATAAGTATATTTCTCGGATCCACATGTATTCCCAGACACGCCTTGATTCTTGTAGATAGTCGTGAAATGATCCTTTAAGGGCAGTCAACTTCTGTAGGCACGTCGCCTTTGTCTCACTTCACTGGCGTGACTCATTTCTTTCCGCGTGGAGCAAGGAACATCTTCCAGAAACGAGAGACGGCCAGCTGCGCAAATCTAAGACCATCACCCTGATTTCCTCCCTCAAAGGCAGCTGACACGATAATGTGGTACTCGGCCTAAAATGCTAGCAGGGCGCTATACAGGGGGGCAAAAAAAAGTCATTCCGGCCGAGTCACATATGAGCGAAGTTTTCGCAGCCCAGACAGAGGAAGTGGATATGAGTACCAGGGCGGAAGATACCCAAGATCTTCCTCTATAAGCAGGAGCCGGCTGCCGCCATTCACCTTCATGTACACCAAAATATGAAGTCATCTCCAGTCGCGGCCTGAGTGGAGAACGCCTTTGGAATTCACGTGGCCTCCAAACAGCTGCGGAACTTCTTGAATGGAATCACCCATGGATAGCTACCTGGAGACCAGTACTCTTGATCTGCAAGACCTCAAACATCGAGCAGCTCCGGCAACGTCGCTACGGTCCAGGACATCATCTTCACCCCATTCACCAAGGCGCGGGTTGATGGTGTGGACCGGCCGTACCTGGAACCGATATTTTCTTCGTGGGCCCCAGACTGAGGGTGTGCGCTGGTGGCTACATCGAGCAACTCGAGGAGAATATCCCATCTTCATGTCGTCGCCCGTACCTTCTTGGAAACTTTGTACTGCTACAGGATTGGGTGACATGGAATCGAAGGGCGTTGGAAAAACTTTCGCCTACTTGGAATGGAAGAACGTTGAGTACCTGGAAAAGATGGAGTATTTAAGCGGGGGTCCTGAACTAAACCCCCTCAATTACTCGGTTCGGGCGGAGCTCAACAGGGTGGTCTACAGTGGCGGAGAAATCAACGATCTCGCTCAACTCCGGTACCCACTCACTTTCGCGCGGCCGAATCTCTCGATGGCGCTCCTCCAGAAGGCTGTGGCGGAGTATCATTATAGTATTTAATGTGCTCTTTAATATGGTAGTAAAAATGTCCGATAAAAATTTAATAAAGTGTAACTTATAGCGCCTTGAAAGTCATGGAGGCAAAATGACTTTTTTTTGCCCCCCCCCCCTGTATAGTGGGGAAATGGCGAAAGAACGGAGTGAAACGGTCAAAATCCTGCGAAGAAAAAGTTTTCGTTCTCAATGAATTGAAAATCAATTTTGGACGAGTCTCCCATAGGCATCTTGCCAACACCCGTTACCAAAGATATGGCTCGCAGTGTGTACTCATATATCCGTGGAGCACCGCTGCCGCTTCATACCAATCTCTTCACTTCATAATTGGCTAGTCAAAAAAATAAGAGCGTCAAGAATCGTCCATTTGTGGGCGGGCGTGCGCGCTGGGCCTTCGAGTGGCATGTCGTAAGCTTGATAAGGGCCCTTTAAGGGTACCTTCCGTGGAAAAGGCGCACGTGCAGGACGCTGATTTATTTTTCAGATGCCCTCGATGATCTCCCTGAGTACTGGGCGAGAAGAAGAGCAGATATGAAGAATTTCCACGAGGGCGAGGGTTCCATACGGGCAACTTTGACAGCATAAAGCCAAGCTTAATGCTTGAAAGTGGACCTAGGATGTGGGCACAATGGCTGGCGGGCGGTTGCTGCCAACGTCATTGGAATGAGCAGAATGTGGTGTGCCCAAACGCCTAACCGCGCTATTCCATCGTTGCTTGCACTCTGCACACGGAGCACTCTTCCACTGTATAAGTATAACAAAGACGAAGCTTTCTATGAGTAACGAACTGCTCCAGGGCGCAGTTTGACGACGGGGGGGGGGCATTTTGCACTTCATTTCCTCACCATTTCCAGGTTTACAAGTCTCACTCTGGTGAAACTTGTGAACTCTTGTGAAGCTGGAACAAGCTCGTCTAGCCACCATAGTACATGTCAGCTCAAGAAAAGGCTATCTAGATGGCTCGACAAATCGATAGAAAGCAAAATGCCCCCCCCCCCCTCCGTCGCCAAACTGCGCCCTGCGCCAGTGTCCAAGACAAAAAGTAAAAAGTCACTCACTCTGATAGCTGAGTCCTGGGGTAAAGGCATAAGCCCGATTCAATCCATAGCCGTAGACGGTCACACTGAATACGGTCTGCTAATGCACCACGCACATCTTAACGCTCATTTGAGACTCACCCAAAAATAATATCTGCCCATGGCGTATCAGCTCCAACGAAGGACACTGTGTGTTTGCCTCCAGTCACTGCGACATCGACGAAGTAGTATTCACTTCGACCCATTCTTAAGCATTCTAGTTTATTTCTCCTTCAATTTGAGTCGTCTTTCAGAGCAATGGCAGTATCGAATTCCGACAAGCCGCTCAAAAGTTAACTTGAGATTTTGATGGAATTTTAGGTTCGACTATGCCTGGTTTCTCTCATAGTTATAGCAATCACCTTGTATAGAGCAGTCCATTGGGAACATAGTTGTCAATTTTCACAGTTCCAATGCAGTCCAGCGAGTTGCAGGTTACTCGAATGAAGTGTTTCAAGTTGAGCTGCTCATCCAACGTCGGCGCAACCCTAACGACGTTTTGTAAAATATATAATCCATTCAAACAGCAATTAAACAAAAAAAACATCTTCAAAGCATGTGAGGGTTTTTATCCTCCCAAATGCAACCAAAATTACCAATTTTACCATTCACGGGCCTTTGACGGGCCTGACGAGAGACAGGCTGAGTGGCGTTATGTTGGCACGATGAATCGGAAATCGCCGCGCCAAGTGGGCTGTCGTGTGCCGCATGGACGCGCCTGCTAATGATGACCATTTTTAGGCAGTATTGATCGAGAATAGACTATGTGTGGCCAAAAATAGACATGATTGTCTACCATGTCCTTACCTACATGAAATGCGATGTTCCAATCGAAGGGTAGCGCAAAATGAGGAAACGTCGCGCCCATTGCCGCGCGCGACCAAGTGACAGTTTACGACTCTCTTGCCCGTCTCTCGGAGTGGCAAATTGCTAGCCTGGGACTGCGCGCTTCGGTCCCCTTGTCACTACATCACTTCTCACCAGGGCACGCCATCTTTGTGATCATCACAACGGGGGGTCGTATTTGCCCGCGATGGAGGGGGGGGTCGTAAACGCATGGCCCATGTTGAAGTGGAGAGAGCGGTGATACACGGTACAAGTGAAAAGAAGCTCAAAAGGGACGATGTACGCATAGACAATAAATAGACCCTAGCACTACTCGAACAATTCCTACGACCCAAGAAAAAAAAATATTGCTGAAACTTTTTCCTCCTTCCTCACAAAAAACTTCAAGACACTTCGCCCACCAACCCTCCTCATCTGGTCTAGATAAATCCCAATCCACTAATCCGCAAAATCTAGAAAAGAATCCATTGCAAAAGCTACCTATGAAACCGTAGAAATTGAATCCTGAGCAATTTCCTCACAACAAAATCAAACTCAACAAAACAAAATCAAACTTAACAAGAACAAACAATCAAAATAATTCTGCAATCATTTATAAATTTTGGCAGTTCGCGGTCAGCGCGCTCATACAAGCTCATTGGTGCGCGCTATTTTACGGCCTGGAGCCAATTTCAAGCCAAACACGTGAAAAGTACCCCTCATTTGAACACCCATAACTTCGTTGAAAGTGAAGCTATCGGAGAGGGGTAAGTGGGAATGAGTAGAGCTAGGCTGGCGACTCTTGTTAACCTAACTGAGCGATTTTAAAAACGTTCCGATTCCAGAGATTTTCCCCGTTGTGATCATCGTTTGTGATCCATCTGTGATCATTTTTGCGAACCGCGAGTCGCTACGCTTTGGACGTCCATGGCAAGCTTCATACACCGCCTTTCGTAAAAAAAAGAATTGTGCCGGAAGCTTGAAGATTTCTACTTTCCAGCAAGGCTTTAATTTTCTTCCTAGGCCTGCTATTCGAAAAAATTCCCCGTTGTGATCATTTCGTGACCATCCCCCCCACGACACGAAAAATCAGCCCCTCCGAGGCCATGAAACCTCCAGTTGGCCTTGAAACTTTTGCGATATGCCTTCTAAGAACACATGTTTCGCCAGAGGGTATCAGAAATATGCCACTTGGCGCCGCGCCAGGCAATCACCTCTGCAATGCCCGCCATGCCATGCGCGGCTTTTCACGCAGGGTGTTTGGGAAGGTGTAATTTCTAGAATAGCGGCTCCCAATTGCAAGCAACATGTGCCTGCATGCAATCAGCAACAAGTTCCGGAAATGCTACTTCTGGCTCGCTTTATTCATCGTCAGCCGTAAGCTCCTTTCCAATTAATTTATTAAAAATCCATGCGCTGCCCTTTCGTGGGCAGTGCATCGTCAGCTCCTAATCATCCGGCCGCTTCCTCATTACGTATTGTCAGTATGCCTACACCAGCCGCCAGACGTGCTGGACCGTGGCTTGGGCACGTACGTAGTACTGCCGGACCCCCCCCTCCCAACGTCGACAGCAAAGTTCTGTAAAAAAACCAGAAATTTTTTGGGAAAAATAGACAAAGTGGTAGGAGGTTGGAAAAATCTAGGGAAGATCCGTAAATGGGGGAGGGGGGGTCGTATTTGAAAGTGGAACTAGGGGGGTCGTATTTCCCAGGAAATGATCAGAATGCAATTGCGTGCCCTGCTTCTCACACCTCCGCCACTGCCATGACTTGAATACCATTTGACAATCAGGCGGGGCGTGTCAGGAGCGGTGGAATGAGCCCGCCCCACTGCGTGACTCCACCAATAGTAACCTTACAGTAATTCAGGAAGAAAACAGCCAAGGGTGAAAAGTGCCGCCGGTGGGCTCATCCACGCCTACCGACACCACTCCCCTTCACCGACTGCGATGATATCAATCGAAGAACTTGCATTTTAATCAGTGTGGGAGTAAACAGTATGCTGCATAGTGCAAAACATGTATCGCCTGTGCTCCCGTTGATCATCGAGTTCCGGTAACGCCTCCATTCGTCCCTGCAACGTGCAAGAGTTGCCCCAATGGACTCTCTCTGCTCGAGGGACACGATGAATATACCATTCGTTCAGAGCTTTCACGAAGAAGTCTGACCATCGCATAGGCGGTCGTCCAGGCGTTCGCTTGACATCCCGTGGAATCCAGTCGGTGATCGCTCTGGTCCAGCGGTCGTCCTCGAAACGCATGACGTGCCCGGCCCACCTGATCTTCGAAACCTTGGCAAATGCGGCTGAGTCTCTGATCCTCGATCGTTAGTGCCGAGCTTGGATTCCTTCTCTCACGCGCGTCTAGCGGGAAACTCGGAGCATCGCACTTTCGATGGCGCAACGAATGGCGCTAACCGCATATTGTTCACTCCCAGACTGCATAAAATGCACGTTTTCTATCGCCACTATCGGTGAAGGGGGTGATGTCGGGAGGCATGGACGAGCACTTGTTACTACTGGTTGCAAAACATGTAATAAAATAAAATAAAGCACTGCACACAG